TTTTTTTTTGGTTGTAGTTGTCATTGTTTGACAGCCCCAGGCCGGATTCAAACCTGCCAGCTCTGGTGTATGTGGCTGGCACCTCAGCTGCTTGAGATATAGGTACCACTCCTAAAATGCACTTTTAAGTGAACTTTATAGCCATCCTGTATATACACATACATTCACACACACACACACACACACACACACACATATTTCATGCAGTCCCAGCATTGGTCCTAGATTCCAAACTCCTACCAAGAAATAAGGTCATAAAGCGCCAGGCGTGGTGGCTCACGCCTGTAATCCTAGCACTCTGGGAGACCGAGGTAGGTAGATCGCCGAGGTAGGTTCCGCCCCAGCCTGAGCCAGATCAAGAACCCCAACTCTAAAAATAGCCAGTTGTGGGCGCCTATAGTCCCATCTACTCAGGAAGCTGAGGCAAGAGAATCACTTGAGCCCAAGAGTTTGAGGTTGCTGTGAGCTATGACACCATTGCACTCTACCAAGAGCAACAAAGTGAGACTCTGTCTCCAAAAAACTGAAGAAAAAAAAAAAGAAAAGAAAGAAAGAAGGTCATTAGGAGATGATTAGGAGATGGAGTAGATGCAGGGGTCCTCAAACTTTTTAAACAGGGAGCCAGTTCACTGTCCCTCAGACCGTTGGAGGGCTGGCCTGAAGGCCAGGACGAGTTGGCTCCTAAGCAAGACAGGCAGCAGCGGCAAAAACACCTGGCAGGCCGGATAAATGTCCTCAGCGGGCCACATAGAGGCATGGACACTTCCCAGATAACCAGCCCTGCTCAGCTGCCCTCCAGGTAGGAAGATCCCAACCTTTGCCAGAAATACTCCTGTTAACCACCAGGACAAAATGGAGTTAGTGCAGGTCCTAAAGTGCCAGCTGCAACAGATCAGCAGTCACCGCGGCCACCGCAGCTATCTATGAATGGTTTTCAGGGCATACGATGTGAGGGTTGGTACATTAGTGGGGGAAGACAAATATGGAAACAAACACCATGAAGACAACAAGTAATTTTTTTTCGCCATCACCGCTGGGCTATATGTACCACCGAAATGAACAGCAGGAACACATTCTGGGACTAGATGGAAGCACGGCGCCTCCTGCACCACATCGGCGGCTTCACTGTCTGACTGTTGATCCTCCAGCAGAACCACGTACTGCTCATACATTTATCTGGACAAAGCGTCAATTCAGTGCCACCCCGGAACAACATGTACCTTAGTCCACCACTAGAAAGAAGACTCAGGAGTAGGACCCACCTTCAAAACCTTGTAAGTAAGGACAGGGAAAAATAGATTAAGCATGCAAAATGTAGGGCTTTTCAGGTAACTGCACTTTTACGGCTGACCATTAACTTAAAAAATACTGTTAGACTTGGCGGCGCCCATAGCTCAGTGGGCAGGGCGCCGCCACATACACCGAGGCTGGTGGGTTTGAACCTGGCCGGGCCTGCAACAACAACAACAAAAATAGATGGGTGTTGTGGCAGGTGCCTGTAGTCCCAGCTACTAGGAAGGCTGAGGCAAGAGAATCGCTTAAGCCCAAGAGTTTGAGGTTGCTGTGAGCTATGAGGTCACAGCGCTCTACCCAGGGCAACAGCTTGAGACACTGTCTCAAAAAAAAAAAAAAATACTCCTGTTAACCATTTCCCTTCCTCATTCTCTACAAAGCTCTGTGCTGCTTCTGCACTTACCAGGTCAGACAGACCCCAAAACTTGCCCTACCCACCTGGCATCCACCCTTCCAGACCCTGCTCAAAAGCTACCTCCTCCAATGCCAACAAATTCCAAAGCTCAGAATGTTCATAGCTGCTCAGTTCGCAATCACAAAGATGTAGAAACAACCCAAGTGCCCATCTATCTCCACGAGTGGATGAATAAATGGTAGTATACATATACCACGGAATACTATTCATCCCTTTAAAAAGATGGAAATTTTGCATCCTTTGTAACAAGCTGGACAGATCTGGAGAACATTCTCCTAAGTATCACAAGATTGGAAAAACAAGTATCACATGCACTCAATAACAATTTGAAACTAGGAGATTAACAATCACAGACCCACATGAGAGGAAATCGCCACTCAACTCAGGAGGGTAGGATTGGAGGGGGTTTGTTCAGTAGTTTCCCCGCCAGTGGGTACAGTGCGTGGATATGGCCGGCTCCCTGGGTGTGGGACACAGCTGCAGCTCTGATTTTTACCTGTCATGTGTAAATTATATAAGGTAATGGTTTGTACCCTCATATTAATCTAAAATTTTAAAAAGGGGGAAAAAACCCTCCAAACTCAGTGGGTTACTGGGGGTGGGAGGAGCTGAACTCTCTCCCTCCTTGTCACCCAGGGTCCCTGTGATACATTTTGTAAACCTGAAGCTCCTTTGATCTCGTATTGTACTGGGGTCTTGCCTTAACACCTGTTGCAGGTGACAAATGAAGACAGCCCCTGTGAACACTGCCACCTTCTTAATTATACATCTTTTTCTCTCTCAAAGCACATGGGTCCCTTTCACATAGTGGCTCAGTAACTTCTCTGACGAAGTAAAAGCCCGGCACTTAAATATAAAGACGGTTTGGGTGGATGATTCCGTTTATGTTGCCACACTAAACCATGATAGTGAGTTTCAAACTGCTCCCTCGCTGTGCCTGGACAGACGCTAAACAGTTGTGAAATCAAAAAGGTGGGGAGGAAGAAAGGGAAGCCTGGGCCAGAATGACCCCCACTGAGTCACCATTTCCTGGATGATGGAACTCACCGCTTCGGGGGATCTGGAGAATAGAACCCAGGGGCGCGCGAGGACCAGCCCCAGACGTGCGCCCCGCGCCTGGCGCCCGCAGCCGCAGCCCCGGGAGCGGGGCCGTCCGCGCACCCACGTGCTGGAGCGCCCCCCTGTGGCCGCACCGCACCCCCGCCGCTCCCACTGGCCCGCGGACCACGCTCCCCGCGGCGGAAGAAACCCGAGACGCAGAAAGTTTCCCAGCCAGGCGGTTTGCGAAAGGACGGAGCTGGGTCCGGGAGCCTCCAAGGGCAGGCGGGCGTGCTGGGAGCTGAACCCAAGTCCACAGCGACCCAGAGAAGTCGAGGCCCGCACGGACCGCCGCCCTTTCAGGGTCGGGACCTCCAGATCCCGAGGGCGCGGGGCTTCTCCCCGCCCCACCCCCGAGTGTTCAGTGGAGGGAAGGGAGGCTGGGCCCCTACCAGGACCAGGTGTCCCCCACACCCCAGCTACAGGGCGCGTCTGGGGCTCTTGGGTTGGCTTATTCATTTTTTTAAGTGGAAGGAGGGGGCGCACCAACTCCCTTTGGCTCATTGTAACCCTCGGCAGTCAGGATTCCGGGCGCCCACAGAGCCCACCTGGAGCCCATCGCCCCACCCAACGCCGCCCTCCCCCACCGGGGGTGACAAGTGAAAACAGCGAGTCCTCTTCCTCCTCCCCCTCCAGCCGTCTGGTTTGGGAGGCAAGGTCCACCTGGGCTTGTTTCCCCGCCGCCCGCAGTGGACCCGCCGGCCGGGAGGCGGCGGTGGGGAACCAGCGCCCCGGGGCGGGGGCCTCGGAGCGGGCGAGGCCGGGCCGGGCGCGGCGCAGCGCTTACCTCGTCCACGGTGAGCGGCATGCAGATCCGGTACTCCTTCAGCAGCATCCTGAACTGATCTGAACCTGGCGACCCCCGGGCGGGAAGCAAGGGGTGCCCCCCGAACCAGCAAGCCTGCCGCCCAGGCGCAGGGCAGGGCTCCCAGAGCAGCCCCGGCGGTGCGCTCAGCTCCTGGCTTCCTCCTCGCCGCCCGAGAGCATGTCAAGGTTTAAGTCCTGGTGTTTGCAGCTCCCCCGCCTCCTTGCTTGCCTAGGTCTGTCCTCCTGGAACGTGGTGTTGCAAAGTCAGGGAGGGAAGGAGGGAGGGAGACCCGCCGGAGAAGGCTCTGCTCAGCAGCCCGGGGTGGTAAGAGCGGCCGCAAGATCAGGACATGCCCGGCAGCGGGCAAGGGAGGAAAAGAAGAGATTTCCGAAAAATCGCAACGAATGCACAAAAGTCACCCGATCGATCCGCCTCCGAAAAGCAGATCTGAACCTGGCGACCCCTCCTCCGGCCGATCTGCCCAGTGCTAATGTCACCAGGAGCACATTGCAGCCGGAGCCGGAGATGCTGACTTTCCAGACAAAGGCTCGATCGGCTCCTCTCCCCGGGCGGTAAACAAGATTTCCTGCTCTTTTTAGGGCCGGTCCCCGAGCTGCTCCAGAGCTCTGCAGAGGGAAAAAGGGGAAGCCGCCGCCGCCGCCGCCCTCGGCGCTGCCGCGCTGGGGCCCCGGGTGCCTCCCACCTCGGCCCGCGGCTGCCAGAGGCGGGCGACAAGGAAGCTGGCGCCTTCCGCGCGCGTCCCTCCCCCGAGTCCCTCTGCTCCCCGAGCGCCGTGCGTGCCCGCGAGTTTGCAGCCACCTCGCCGGGGCCGCCGAGTCCTCGCGGAGCTGCAGTGTGCCTGGGGCCGGGGAGGTGGGTGCGGGAGGAGCGAGCGCGAGCGAGGCTGACATCAGCAGCGGCCGCGGCGGGGAGGGTAGCCCCATCCGGCCAATGGGGAAATGGCAAAGAATGTGGACGATTTAAACAAAACAGCATGTCTCTCCCGGGCTGCTGCCAGGCGGCGGGGCTGCCCCCAGCCGAGTCCGGCCGGTGCTGGGTGCGCCGGGAAGAGGGGCTTCCCTCGGCCCCTCTGCCCTTCGAAGCTGCTCTCAAATGTGCCCTGGGTGCCGCAGTGCCCCATCCAGCCACTTTAGGAGGCTTCTGATCTCTCGGTCTTAGCAAAAAGTCTGTACAAATGCCCACCACGAACGTTTTCACTTTGGTCCAGTAAGCAAATCCGGTGCTGGAGAGGCGATGGGATTTGAGAGCAGGAGAGCAAACCCTTGCCTGGTTTCCTAACTGGGTTCAGAAAAGAAATCTTGGAAAACTGGGAATGAAAGTGAAGTGCAAACAGAAAGAGGGGGAGAGAGAGAGAAGGAACCCGACCTGGCCTGTTCGTTACCTCTCCCGGCCCAGCTCTCCAAGGGTTTGCAGAGCAGAAAGAGTAGGTTTTGGCATCAGCTCTCCTAAGTTCAAAAAGTCACAGTGAAATGTCAATGAAAATGCCTGGAGTGTTGGTATTTCATCCATATTAAACAGATCCCTCATTTAACCACAAGAAGCACATTCTTCAGCTACTCAGGAAGCAGCACGGAACTGCTGAAGTCTGTTTTTCATTTGTCTGGTATTTTTAAGCTTGTTTTTCTGAAAAGTTGCTGGATGAAAAAGGCGTCAGTTGCCTGCACAAGAATAACCTGTAAGCATAATCTTTTCTCTGAAAAATAGTCATGATCTAAAGTTCTGCAGCTACTCATAGAGCTTGGATAGTGATATGCCTGGTCTCAATCTTAAGATATTTGGGGTTATGATTAATAAGTATCTAGCCAAGATCACAATGATGGGCTCGTAGCAAAAGCCAGGCAGATGACTAGAGAGAATGCATAACTGTCTGAAGGTGATGCGAAGCCTGCTCTGTAAATGACACCCCATATCCAGCTTATATTTTAGTGAAAACTATTTTCTAAATAAATGCTTTCCAGAGTTGGCTCAGAAATACGCACAGCAACTAATTAAAGCTAAACCAAATTCCTCGAGGTGGAAAGTCTAAATGCGACACTGTAGTGTTGAATAATAACACATTGAAAGTCTGTGATACGGCAAGAAACTCAAGCTGTTTTTCTTTTTTTTTTTTTTTCTACTTCCTACTTGAAAACAAGTGTAGTGACTTTGCTCTGGGCACCTAATAGTCTTACCAGAAGCAGCTAGGGAACGTATTGGCTAGCCACACAGGCATACACCTAGGACATCAGGACATGTGGCCTGTCTATTCCTGGCTTCCTAGACATTGATTCTGGAGGAAGGATTCCATGATGGGTGTCATGGTAGAGGAACGACTCTTAAATTTCTCAAACCATGAATCGTCCTGTATATCCTCCTTTCTCCAAACCTCACGTTGTCAGTTGACTTCTCCGTTGGATCTTTTTTCTTTTCATTCAGTCGATCCGCATGCCTGGTCACATTAATCTTGTGCAAGCACAGCTCTAACCCTGCCACCTTCAAAGCCTCTTCATGATTCTCTGTTGCCTGAGTGAGTCAAAAGTCCTTGGCAGGAGCCTCCAAGGCTCTGAATCTACTTTTCTCACATTAGCTCTCTGTTAAAGGAGACAAGTCCACTGGCTGGAGAAGGCCTCCACTTTTCTACCTTGACCCTTCTGCTTGTTGCCATTGCCTTCACAGAGAATCCCTCTCCCCAGTTCATCCTCCAAGACACTATTTTAAAGCAGGGCCTTCAGATCTCTTTTGGGAAGTGATTCTTTTTTTTTTTTTTTTTTTTTTTTGGTTGCAGCCGTCATTGTTGTTTGGCGGGTCCGGGCTGGGGATTTGAACCCGCCACCTTAGGTGTACGTGGCTGGCGCCTTAGCTGGTTGAGCTATAGGCGCGGAGCCGTTGGGAAGTGATTCTGATGACAGTGTGCTTGATAAAAGTATACCAGAGGTAGGAGTTTATCATGTTATAATATTACAGGTGACAGAGAGGCTCTGAACTAGACTGGGAATGCAGAAAAGAGGATGAATTCTAAAGATTTGAACTTGGGGACGGATGGGTACTCACTACAACCCTGCTTGGGGTGGGGGGCCCAGAGCCAGCTTATTCATTCATAAGTCATTCACTCCAAGGGAGGCGAGCGCCACCTACTGGTCAAGTGCAGATTGTTTAAAAATGTTTTAAGTATGGTTGGCAGTGTCTGGCAAGGAGAATTGCATCTTTGTTTCTTTTCAACCAATGAAGTTTCAATGTCTACCTACAAAGAGCCTTGAAGATTTGCTATCATCATTATGGGTAGTAATGATGTTCCATTAGCAATTTACAATCTGTGGCTACAGATCATCACATATTTTAAAAATAGGGGTGACGCACAGGCAAAAAGAAGAAAGAATAAAATCAGCAGAAAGAAATGATAAGACCAGGAGAAACAGAATGTCTGTGACAGCATATATTCTCAGATAAGTGACAATCTCTGAAGCAGGACATTTTGATGCTATCTGCCCTCACTGAAACCTCTCTGTTTGTGTGACACAAGTCTTAGGTCTTGACCCACCTCTGAAAATAGCCTTGAAAGGCGAGCATAGCAACAGCCTTTGTGACTCTACCCAAATCGTATTTTATCCCTAGAATATCCCCAGAATATTTGCTTTAGAATATTCCTAAAGCAAAACAGTATGCTTTTCCCCTCTTCCTCTCTCTAACCACACTATCAAGTTGGTGGGTTCATTCATCAAAGACCACTGCAAACCCTAGCTCCCACACACAGCCATTCTAGAAAAGTCTTTACCTTTCTAGATAGCCCAAAACACTTCTGCATACTATTCATTTTGGTTCTTGTTTGTACGCAAGTGCAAGTGTGGCCCTTATATATAATGTTACATCCAGTACTCCAAGTGTTTCACCTGTTCTCCAACTCCCTGACATGGTAAGCTTCCTGAGAAGATAGGTCATGTACCGTCTGTATCGTCTGGAAAATGAAGCACGGTGAGGGATACTGAGGCACCCAGTAAACATCTATTAGATATGTGCGTATGTGACATGTTATGCCAGATAACGCTTTGTTGTGGGGTCATTGTAGAATGTGTAGTGGCATCCCTGCCCTGACCTACTGGATGTTAGTAGTAACATCCCTATAAACACACACACAAACACTGCCCAATTTAAGGGGGATGTGGTAATGGATGATTTTTTCTTATTTTAGACAGAGTCTCACTTTGTCACCCCTGGTAGAGTGCTATGGTGTCATAGCTCACAGCAACCTCAAACTCTTGGGCTCAAGCAATTCTCTTGCCTCAGCCTCCTGAGTAGCTGAGACTACAGGCCCACACCACCACACCCAGCTAGTTTTTCTATTTTTGGTAGAGATGGGTCTTGCATTGTTCAGGCTGGTCTCAAACTCCTAAGCTCAAGCAAGCCTCCTGCCTCAGGCACCCAGAGGGGCTAGGATTAAGCCACAGAGCCTAGGTTGACATTATTTGGTCTTTCTTCCTCTCTTTCTCTCTCTCTCTTTTTTTCTTTCATAGTGATGGAGTCTTGCTATTTTCCCAGGCTGGTCTTAAACTCTTGGCCTCATGTGATCCTCCCACTTCAGTGTCCCAAAGTGCTAGGATTACAGGCATGAGGCACCATGTCCAGCCTTCATTAATCTTATCTATATGTTTAGCTACTCCAAGAATAAGCTTGTGGAGACTGACTTTTTTTTTTTTTGAGACAGAGTCTCACTCTGTCACCCTGGCGTTAAGAGTGGCATGGCATCATAGCTCATAGCAACCTCAAACTTCTGGTTTCAAGCGATCCATCCTCCTGCCTCAGTCTCCCAAGTAGGTGGGACCACAGGTGCTTACCACAACACCCTCTAGTTTTTCTATTTTTAGTAGAGATGGGGGAGTGGGTTTCTCCATCTTACACAGGCTGGTCTCAAACTCCTGAGCTCAAGGGGTCCACCCTCTAGCCTCCCAGAGTGCTAGGATTATAGCGTGAGCCACCACACCTGGCCTGAGAGACTGACATTTAGCTTGTCAAAATGAAGGCTAAGGAGGCCAGGCGCAGTGGCTTACACCTGTAACCCCAGCACTTGGGAGGCCAAGGCAGGTGGATTGCCTGAGCTCATAGGTTCAAGACCAGCCTGAGCCAGAGAGAGACCCCCATCTCTAAAAAATAGCTGGGCTAGCCAGGCATTGTGGCAGGCACCTCTAGTCCCAGTTACTTGGGAGGCTGAGGCAAGAGAATCGCCTAAGCCCAGGAGTTCGAGGTTGCTGTGAGCTGTGATACCACAGTACTCTACCAAGGATGATAAAGTGAGACACTGTCTCTCTAAAGAAAAAAAAAGCTGGGTGTTAGGGCAGGCACCTGTAGTCCCAACTACTTGGGAGGCTGAGGGCAAGAGGATCACTTGAACCCAAGAGTTTGAGGTTGCTGTGAGCTAAGATGACACAGCACTCCACCAAGGGTGACCAAATGAGACTCTGTCTAAAAAAAAAAAAAAAAAAAAAG